AACATCAGTCGTTTGCGGTCTAATCGGAGAAGGCCTAACTGAACGCATTGCGTTTGTAAGCCTAGTCACATAAGATGCCCTATCGGAAACATGTTTGAAAGTTGAAGGGGAAACAAACTCACCTGGTAGGCGAAGAGTGGTCCCATAGACGAGTTCTGCAGGAGTGCATCCAGCATCAACTTTCAACGCGTTACGAATACCTAGTAGGACTAGAGGCAGAGCCTCGGTCCACTGAGGTATGTTTGTAGCTGAAAGGGAAGCTTTCAGCTGTCGATGGAAACGCTCTACCATGCCATTTGCTTGTGGATGGTAGGCTGTCGTTCGGAACCGAGTGCAACCTAAAAGTGCCGTTAGAGCGTGAAATAGTCCGCACTCAAATTGGCGCCCACGGTCGGTTGTGACGTAGGATGGACATCCGAAGTTCGCGATCCATCTTTCGACGAAAACACGAGCAACTGTTTCGGCAGTAATATCTTTAATGGGTACTGCTTCCGGCCATCGTGTGAAACGATCAACACAGGTGAAAAGGTAGGTACATCCATTAGATTCTGGTAGGGGTCCTACAATATCTATATGGACGTGGTCGAAACGCATGTCTGGGGCTAGAAATGAGCCTAAAGGGCTTTTCGTGTGTCGCGTGACTTTACACTTTTGACAAGCTAAGCACGACTGGGCCCACTCCTTAACGTCTTTGTTCATCCCAGGCCAGCAGAAACGTTGTGCGATAAGCCTAATGGTGGCTCGTACACCTGGATGAGAGAGTTTGTGCAACGTATTGAAGACGTTGCGTCGACAACTCTTCGGAACTATTGGGCGTGGTTGACTAGCAGAGACATCGCACAAAATTGCATCCTTGTCTGATCCAACAGGACAAAGTCGCAGTTTGAGAGTTGTGGACGACAACTCATGATGCAGCTCAAGGTCTTCCTTTTGACGCCGAGCTAGTTCAACGAGATCAATACCCTCGATATAGTTTATCGAAGCTATTCGAGATAGTGCGTCGGCTGCGGAGTTGTTTGCTCCAGAAATGTGGCGGATGTCTGACGTGAACTGGGAAATGTAATCCAGCTGTCGCGACTCACGAGGGGAGTATTTGTCAGACGCCGAGCTGAGGGAAAACGTTAACGGTTTGTGGTCTGTGAAAATAATGAAATCACGACCTTCCACAGAATGTCGAAAATGGCGTACAGAACAGTACATGGCTAGGAGTTCCCTACCAAATGTACTGTATCTTGTTTCCGCGTCTTGCAGCCGCCTCGAGAAAAAGGCTAACGGTTGCCACTGGTTGTCAGTCAACTGTTGCAAAACTGCTCCAATTGCTGAATCAGATGCATCAACAGCAATACTCAGAGGAGCATTGGGGTCATGATGCATAAGCATGGTTGCGTTCGAAATGGCTTCCTTGACTTTGGAGAAAGCAAGTCTAGCCGCGTTGTCCAGAGACACGAACTTCGCAGTTCCTCGAAGTAGATCTGTGAGTGGTCTCATGACAGAGGCACAGTTAGGGATAAACCTTCGGTAATAACTTACCAGGCCATTGAAAGTGCGGAGATGTTTCACAGTGGTCGGCTCTGGATAGTTTGTGATAGCCGCCACTTTATCTCTCAATGGGCGTATACCTTTGTTGTCAATGGTATGCCCAAGGAAGCTGAGTGATTCAACTCCTATTTCACACTTCTGTAAGTTAACTGTGATGCCATGTTTTTTGAGTCTTTCGAATGCGAGGTCCAAATGTTTAAGGTGTGTTTCCTTATCTGGACTCGCAATTAGACAGTCATCTATGTAGACATGAACAAAATTCAGACCACGGAAGACGTCGTCCATAAAGCGTTGGAATGTTTGTGCTGCATTCCGAAGACCAAAAGGCATGCGCAGGAATTCAAACAGGCCAAAAGGAGTAATAATGGCTGTTTTCGCGATATCTTCTGCTGCCATAGGTATCTGGTTGTACGCTTTGACTAAGTCGATTTTCGAGAAAATGTTCATGCCGCATAAGGTTGCGGTCAAGTCGTAAACGTGGGGTATAGGGTAGCAGTCCGGAGTTGTTTTGGCGTTAAGCCTTCGGTAATCACCGGTCGGACGCCAGTCGTTGCTATCCTTTTTGGGCACCATGTGCAATGGCGATGCCCAAGGACTGTTTGACGGTCTGATAATGCCCAGTTCCAGCATATGGTCGAATTCATTTTTCGCCGTTTGCAGCTTATCGGGGGCTAAACGGCGAGCTTTGGATGCCACAGGTGGACCTGTGGTTGTGACGTGATGCATAACATTGCTGGTTATGCACGGAAGAGTGTGTTTCGGTTGTTGTAACTCTGGATATTTCTCCAGAACTGCCTGGTAGGACGCGTCGCCTGATTGTTTAGTCCTAACGATGGCTAAACTCGGACCTACATAGGTGGTGCCGCCAATAGATAACTTTGTGTTGTTATCTATCAGTCGTCGACGGCGAGCATCTACGAGTAGATCGTAATGGTTCAGCAAATCTATGCCAATGATGGGCATAGAGACGTCTGCCAGGAGGAAAATCCAGTGAATAGGTTTGCGTAAACCTAAGTTGAGGTAGGCATACCGTCTCCCGAATGTCGCGATTGCCTTGCCGTTGGCTGCTTGAAGATTGAAGGATGGGTCGAGATGACGCTCCTTTGTCGTTGCTGGAAGAACGCTAACTTCTGCGCCGGTGTCGACGAGGTAGCGGACTTTCGTTTTAATGTCGGTGACGTAGAGCAAACGGCTTTTTCCGCCGGCTACGGTTGCCGTGAGCACGTGCCGGCGTGACCGTTTCCCGAGTTCGGTCCTTCTTAAAACGGCATGGTTTACGACATTTTCTGGCTTCATCCCCGTAAGTGTTATGAAACCAGCACCATTCAGGGTTTTCCACCCTGTTGGGTTTCGTTTTAGGGCTACCACGCGACTTGCTGCGATGCGCCAAGGTGCGTTTCTGTGAAGTGCTACGTGATCTAGGACTTCGAGATCGTAGCAACCGTTTCACAGAGTTGCACAACTTGGTCACCTCCGAATCCTGGCGCTCTGTTTTGTCACAGATAGAATATACGTTGGAGACGGGTCTGCTGGATATCTCCAGTATTTTATCTGCTGAAGCTGCCAGGTCGTCGAGTGGGACTGACTGGAGTGTCACCAACACGGTTTGCACCGGTTGTGGTAGTTTCGAGAGAAATAGTTCTCGGAAGAAACCATCGTCAAATGTTCGTGCACCGATTACTTCTCGCATGCGTGCGAGGACTTCAGTAGCTGAGTGGCTGCCTAGCTCGATGTTACGAAGCAATTCGTCTAGACGTTGGCGATCTGTGAGATCGCTTTTCTTCAAGAGTGCAGCCTTTAGAAGTGCATAAGGGTCACTTACTTCAGGATTAAACATGTTTGCTGTAACAACCTGTTTAATTCTCGCGGTAGTGAACGTATGACAGCAAGAAATCGAGATGAGGATCTGAGACACCCTGTTCTCGAAAATCGGCCTCGGCATACAGAAACCATGTTTCTGCATTGTCTGGCCAATATGGCACGAGTTGGATCGTGTTCGAGGTCGGCTTAATACGAATAAGCTTGGGAGTGTGGTCGGACATGAGAAAGTGTAGTAAATGGATATATAAATGTTATCGAAATGAAAACAATAAACAAATATAAAATGGAACAGGCTCACCAATTCAATACTTGCTATTGTCGGGATATGTGATCACGTCGGGATATTTGATCACGTCGGGCTCACCAATTTAGGATTTGTCCTGGTGCGAACTTGACAGACGCAAAGACCAATCACTAATTATTCGAACTTGTTATATACCCACGAATACGAGACCAAGGAAGAACACGATAGCGTAGTCGGATGGAATAGTATATTTGGATGGTTATGCCAAAATACCGATGCGTTCCAACTAACTGGCTAGAGAGTCGAATACGAGCAATGCAACGTAACACGACAGCGTGCCAAATGGCGAGGATGCTTGACCGGATGCCTTCAGCTTAGCGAGTCCAGTTAAACTATCAAGGTCAGCATCAATGTCGAAGTCGTCAAACCCTAGGCTATTGATTTTGGGGAAGTGTAAGACGCTACAACCCTAATACGGGTTAAGGTAAGAGCTAAGAAGAAGGTGATCGGGTCACGACGCAAACCCTACGAAGGCTGCCTAGTTGTTCTTAAGCTGCGTCCAGTACAATACCGGAAGACCGGAGGGGATATGATTATGATGTACCACGTTGCCCACAACCCCCTCTGATCTTTAATCGGAAACGCCTTCTTATGGGTTATCTATTAAGGGTAGGGTATGAGAGAGCACGTACAAAGATCCCTTCTAACTCTTTTGCAGTTAGAGTTTGTAAACTGTGTGGCTCTCTTCCCCTAGCAGTGGTCACAGCCTCATCCCCTGATACGTTCAAAAGGAGGTTAGATGCACACCTCAAGTCTAGTGGTACCAATGGGCTATACTTGAGGAGCTTTACCTCACCTACAGAACAGGAGCAGTAATACCACCTTGAGATCGGATTAATTAATAACCGATTATCTTTGTTCTTTCAGGTTTTTCGGGACCAGAAAGACAGTTGTGACCATTTCAAACATAGATCGTTCTCCAGTAAGACAAACATAGAACACAAGCAACCATCACTCACCAATTCTACAACACGAAGTTTGAAGTTACAAATACCAAACTACAAAAGCATTCATTCACTGCAGGAGTAAACCGAACAACTGGAACCAAGCCCTAAGAACTAAACGCGAGAGATCAAAAACTACCAGTTTTCTACGCTCGCACTATCAATATTGGATATTGGATATCCAACCGGAGCTATAAACGGGAAAGCAAGAGAGAGATCTCCTTGAAAGTAACACCAGAAAACCGAACAGTAAGAACCAAACTCAATGTCTGGACCCAAAACATCAAGAAATACTAGTTTCTTACGCTCACATCTGAGATGTTGTGTGATGCAGTTGGACGTTAAACATAACCGGGATATTCAGTTCACTCGTTACATTGTTTGATTTTCTAATGGCGTTGTCTTTAGATGATAAGCTTCTGGGTGAGAAAGTTCACAATTATTGCAGCAGTAGCAGTGAAAACGAAGAAGAGAGTGAAGATGGAGGGGAGCAAAGGGAGGCATCAAACGATGTTCCTAAGTGCTTGAATCCACCAATATCTCATCCAAACTGTCCACAGGTAGAGTGTATTGAAGTAAACAACAGTTTTAGACTGGACCAAAAGGTGTTATTTCGGATTATAAGCATTTTAAAAGTGTGGAGAGGGAAAAAAATGAGGAGAAGGAAAGAAAGATTCTAGAATATGCTAAGTTACACTCTCTTAGCTGCAGACCATATGTATGCATATAGTTAAATTCTATTTATCTTTATGTAAGAGTGAAGATATAAAGGAAAGTGAGAAGGATGAGAAAGTCTTCGAATCTTCAGACAGTGGCAGTGACGATGAGTTTCTGACGCAATATCGACAGAGTCGAATGAATGAACTTAAACGAGCGAGGGAACCCTTGTAAGTCCTAAAACATAGAAAATATTTGTGTTTAAAGACCAACTTTCAACAAGATTTACGACCTGACGGCGAATACATTCGTGGAGGAGATAGACAACACGAACAAGGATACTACAGTTGTAGTTTACATTTATGAATATGTAAGTATTCTTACATATCACTCTTAAGTTCGAAGGGCAACAAAGCCTGTGCAAAAGTTAACACTTGCCTTGAAAAAATATTTCAGGATTATCCACATGTGAAGTTTTGCAGGATAAGAGCTTCCGATGCCCATCTCAGCCACCGATTTGTAAGTTGTATGAATGAATAAATCACCATTGTTGCTGTGCATTTCGCTCTTATAATTAGCGTCTTCATGTCTAGGGTTTTACTGATGGTTGTCTTTGTAGCAAGTGCTTCACATCCCGATATATTGGTGTGGTTAGAGCTCGGACGACTCAATATGTCTGTAGCTCAAATGTTTACACGAGTCTATATTGTGACGAAACTGTTTACTAAATAACCGAAAATTAGCAAGGCGTACTTTGCATCACCAAGTGCCCTCCTACGGAGGATTGTTATGGGTGAAGTACCAATGACTTTTAGGTTTGTAAGCAGTAAGGTATTTATCTTAATTGGTCCTGGTTTCCATATACATGTCTTTAGCAGTGTCTCCTTACTAACAGTTGAATGAGTTAAAAATAGCTTTCTAAAGCTACAGAAAGTATTACCTCATATTCCTGTAGATGTTTTGGGATTCCTGCAAATGTGTAGTAACGCAAATGTAAATTGACGTCTTGGTCTTTACGATCAACTAGAATAAAGAAGAGCGCTAAGTAAAAAAGTCATGGCATCTGGGTTATCTAAGAGAGCGGAATTTTATCGACAGTTTTGGAGTCAGTTAACATCTTATGAAATTTTTCCAATAAAGGAATGTAAGTTTTGGTGTCTATACCAGAGCCATTAAATACCTGTATATATCTTGCAACATGCAGTTCTCAGAAGTGTTTTCTGGATAAACGTTTAGTACATTGTAACATTATTTTACTATAGGTTTCGCTCTTGTGACTATTTAGTGGCAATAATTAATTTTTACCGTTACTGTGGGTCGTGCTGGCATTTCACATGTAAGGCTTCATAAATTAATTGACTTCTTTCGTCATTTCCTTCAATCATTTTGCTCTATTTTTTCGCAGTCGCATTATGGTGTTCCTGCAGTTCTAGTTTACAAAAATGGGGAATTAATAGGCAATATGCTATCTATCACTAAGGATCTTGGGGACGAATTCTATCCAAGCGATTTTGAAAATTATCTAGTTGAGTAAGTGATATAAGATTTTTTTACTATTTTCACATGAATCATTAGTAGTATGTACGCTTGCAATAAGTTCTTTTATCGTTGCTTCAAACTCTTATGAAATATCATTTAGCGATTCTACATTAGTAAACCATGTTTGATCGGGGGTCAAAAACCTTATGATTTGTCAGATATTGTAGATCCGGCTATCTTGTCACTAAACAACAGACTTTATGGTAAAGGTATTTTGATTTAATTCAACTACAGAGGTTTGTAAAACGAAGTGATATCACGAGCACTCACAAGATAGATATGATTCATAGGTTAGTAAAGCGACGAGCATATAGTTGATGAGTCGCGTTGAAAAGGATTGTTATCCCCACATTTTCTGAAATTATAAAAATTGGTTGTACTATGAACACTTCAACGTATTTTTACGTGACATAATTAGTGTTTTTCAATGATGTGCGCATTTGTAGTATGAAAAGTGCATGTTTCATTCCATGTATACCAACTATTTTAAAATCACTGATACATGATCGTGTATGAAACCGTCGTTTCGAACAAATTGGCATCCAATAGATAATGGATCTCCAATGCGCCTTAATTTACGAAGACACTTGATGTACTTACTGCTTGGAACAAACCTAAGTCTTAAACTTGCAAAGACGCAGTGTATGACCGACTCTTTAGCTCTATGATCACGCCCTTCTTTTTCAAGTACATCAAGAAGATGCTTCCTTTGGTGGTGTGGGTAACCGAGAAGTGTGAACCACCCTTACAACTCCGCCAACCTTCAAGTTCCCTCAGATAATTGTCTACTTCCCACATCCTTTCCTTCTAATCTTCACAGCTCTCACCTAAAACTCTCATATCACCTTTAATTTCTAGCACTGCAGCTCTCGGCAACGCTCTGAGTTCACAGAACAGCATCCTTGGTCTCCTTAAACCACGCTCCAAATTACACATTCGAGCCTTCAATGTCCACACCCTCCGTGAGATTGGCCAACAAGCTTCATTGGTCAAAACTGTAGCAACTTGGGTCATGGATGTGTGCTATGTTTGCGAGATACCCAAGCGCGGTTATCCACTAAACCTCTCCCGGCCAATATGGGGAATCCGCGAAACTGACCCTTTGAGCTTCCACAGTTTCTGTAGCTATTTTTCGCAGTCTTGCAGGTGTAGGCATAGCATTGAACACGGGGGTAGGAATTTCACTTCTAGGCTGGATCCTAGTTGGCAGTCACCTGCGCACTGTCTGGCTGAACGGCGCGGTGAGAAATAAGAGGAATAGTGGAACTCGCCGTTGTCCCTGTAATCTCTGCTTACGCACCTACTGACTACAGCTCAGATGAGGCGAAGGATAAGTTCTACCGAAAACTTTCTAGCCTCCTGCTGAAAGTCAAGCGCTTAGACGTAGTTGTTGTTGCATGTGATTTCAGTGCACAAGTGGGTAGGCTGAACGAGCAGATAACGATGATCGCCTACTACAGCTGTGCGCAGACAACCATTTATTTCTTGCTGGCACTAACCTCAGGCATAAAGAAAGACATTATCTGGCGTGGTATCCTCCGAGCTCAACTCAGCGATGGACACAGATGGACCATATTAATGTCAGTCATCAGTGGAGAGGGTCGATGAAAGACTGCCACTCCTTCTGTCGCACGTGTTTGAATAGCGACCACGCGTTGGTTCTAGCCCATATATGTCTGCGTCTAAATGGACGTAGAAAAGCCATAGCAAAAAAACAATTACGACTGCAGCTAGACAGTGAGAGCGCTAAGACCGCTTTCAGTGAGAGGCTGGTTCGACAGTTGTCGGAATTGAACAATATCACTTCCAGAAGCTTGGCACCATATACAGTCCACTGTAAAAACAGGGTTGAAGATCGTAGCCGACTTTCAGAGAGTGATTCAGAAGAGCCAGTGAATACCAGCGACTTCTGAGTTAATGGATGAAAGTGAATGCAACTCAAATGTAGACTGACAAAAAGTCTGCTCAATGACCACGAACAGTAGTTGGCAGCGAAGGGTAAAATGATGTAAAAGGCAGCTGCGATAGTTAACGGTAGACAGTTGTTGAAACGTACCAAGGAAATGGGTGAAAACGTCAACGGTTAGTGGGACTATAGCGGAGAAAAATGGGTCTGCGGCTCACCCGCAGAAGTGACTACTGAAATGATGGGCAGAACACTTCAAGGAACGGTTCAACTGACCTCCAGCTACTATTACGTTGTCCGTTATCTATTGAAACCTGGGTGGAACATCGAGATAGAACCCCCAACACTTGGAGAAGTCACGAAAGTGGCAAGTACCCTGAAATTAAGAAGAGCAGCAAGGCCAGTCGGAGTAGTTCTAGAGATATTTAGGGACGGTGGTCGAGGACTTTTAGTCAAGTTAATTGAAGTGTTAGCCAGCGTACGGGAGTCAGATACCCCGCCTGAGTGGCCTCAATCACTGGTTATCTTAGTCTTCAAAAAAGGTGAGAAGCTCTGTCGTGGTTACCATAGGGGAATCAGCCTGACGAACATAGTGTCTAGGATTCTAGGTTATATAATCATTAGACGTCTGAGTGGGGCTCTGGAACAACAAATGCGAGAAAACCAGGGAAACTTCAGGCCTGGGCGTGAGTGGGTATATCGACCAAATATTCACACTCCGCTAGGTTTCAGTACGCGGGCACGCTTACCGACACCCAACAAAAGCTGCATTTCTCAACCTGAAGGCGGCATTCGACTCCGTCGATCGAGAGGTCTTATGGCGGTGTTTCTTACTGAAAGGGTTACCGAATAAGTACGTCACTCTATTGAAGGCTGTTTACTCGATCACCAATGGATGTGTTAGAGCCTATGGTGACATGTTGGGTGAGCTGTTTACGTCGAGTGGTGTTCGTCAAGAATGCCCACTGTCTCCACTCTTATTCAATTTTATGTTCTTATGGAGGTTTTCCTCTCTTCATTTGATTTCACACGAATTGATCTAACCATAAGAGAATCCTTTATAAATCTAGAGCACGTAGATGAAATATTCCTGTTAGATGAAGACGCTGACAAAATCCAGTCTTCTGGATACATTGAGTGGTAATTTGAGAATGTTTGGGATTTGTTTCTCATCACTCAAATGGGAATTATGGCTTAGTGGCCTACAAAATCTCTGCACGTATACAAAGGGCTGGACTAGTATCCGTCAACTTACATCGCTCCCGTGGTACTCTATTGCCCATTAAGGTTCGAGTGTAGTGTACTGCAGTCCTCTCTGTTCTACTATATGACTGTGAAACATGGCTATTAAAAGTAGAAGACATGAGAAGGCTTCAGGTGTTCGATGACCGTCGCTCTCGTAGCATAGGCCATGTATCGTAGTGTCACTATAGGGGTAGCGCAGAAGTCATGCTTAAAGTTTTACGGAGGAGAGAGGTAAGGTAGATGATGCGGCTGTAGACTTTCATCGATTGAGATGACTGGGACATGTGTTACCTACGGGTAACCACCCTATGCCTAGGCACACAATATTGGCTGAAGTAAGTTCAAGCTGGAGAAATGTTCGGGACGACCAGAATAAAGCATAGCATCATCGACTGAGATGGCTTGGACATGTGTTACGTATGCTGATCCGCTGCTTATCCGGACGTACCTTACTAGGTCAAGTTGGATTTGGAAGGAATAGGGTTCAGGTTGGCCAGACCAAGACGTGATATCAATCCATGAAGTCTTTAACTGTTGTTCTGAGCCATGTTGGGAGGTGTAGATTACCTGACTTGGGTCCCTGAAATGATAAGAGTCAGTTGTTGAGAACTCTTGTGATATGACTAAAAATCGGTGACAATAGTTCAGGTGTATTCACTCCCTGATGTCTTATAAATCTTGAATACCGGCACTAACCTTTATCTTCAGATTTCAGGTTCTCTCATACAAATTCGTCTACTTTAATATCAATCTTTTTCTACCCACCTGTTTTTTGTGTACTACTGTGAAGTGTGGAAAGTTGAACCGATTCACTTATGTGCAAGGTTCTGCGTTGATACTGTCTATTTGTTTGTCGGAGCCTTAAATATACTGTTTACCGTGAGTTATTCAATAGGGAGGATGTAGGTCTTTGTAATGTAATCACAAAAGACTGATTTCGACTAAAAAAGATATAATGTAGCAGGATTGTGGCTTAGTTTCCTAAACATTTGACCCTCTGTTCTATGTAAAATGTGTTCAGTATCATCATTGCTTGCACAAAATGGCTATCCAAACCTATTCATTGTGTAAGAGTTTAGAAAATTAGGCAGGAATAGAATATTTGGACACATACTACTTGTTGCATTGATTTTAGGGAAAATTTGACCGACACATCATATGGTGCTATATTCTTATGAGGTCAATGTACGTATTTACCTTCTTTTGGTGTGTTACCGTAATAAATTCAGTCATTGGAGTCAAATTCCACATTTCGACTAAGGAATGCAAGTTATAGGTATCATTATTTATTTGTTGTTTGGGTTCCCAGTGGAACATAGGACTTCAGTAGCACGTTGCCATTCCATTCTGTTCTCTGCAGTCTTTTGAACCTGGCTCCATGTCTGCTGATAAGCTTTCATTTCTTCCTCACATAGATCTCCATGCCATGCCATTTGGCTTCCACTCGACGATCTGTCTTGACGCGTGATGTCCGCAAACAATCTCCTCAGTGTATGTCCAATCTAATCCATCTCCACTTTCTTATTCTGCATATTTGTTGGATGATAGATTGTTGATTGGTTCGTTGCCATGCCAGGGTTCCTTGTTGCTTATTCTTTCTGGCCTTCTGGTCTGATCTTCAGTATCGAGTGATCGTAGGCGGCAGCTGTCGATGTGGTATATGTGCAGTTTGTTGGAAATGCGTTTCGTAAGGCGCCAATTCTCTCAACCGTCACATGGAAGCACTGACTTGAGTGAATTCGTTTTGAAAATCCGGATATTGTTCACGCTTTATGCTAAGTTGAGTGGAGTAGATCTCCACACATTTCAGAAGGCATGTCTTGCTGTCTTTTCGATGTTGGCTTTGACATCCCCATCTGTGCCGTCTGTAGTTGAAACTAACTATAGTTGTTAGAGATTCCTATATCCCTTATATTTGATACCTACGGTTTGGGTATATTTGAACTGTTTTACTTCGCTCTCTTTTTCAAGCCCAGAAGCTCTCATTTCTCCCTCGCATGATCTCCTCCATATCACCTTCACTTAGGACGCCCAACTCCTCGCTTCCCATCTGGGTTCCACTCGAAGGCCTGGCGTGTGATGTCCGCGAATGGTCTTCTCAGTGCATGCCCAATCCATCTCCACTTCCTTCAAGCGCATATTTGTTGAGCGATACGTTCTTGGTTCGTTCGCCTGGTTAACTAGTTCGCTAGTTACTAGCCGGTTCTAAGCCTGGGTAAAGAGGGAAGGTTTGGCGTAGGCCTAGCAACCCTACCCCGTAAAACCAATCCAACCGCTAAAGAAACTTCGAAGCACAAACAAAGTATAAAAAATAAAAACGAACTTATTCATCGCTGGAATCGAAGGGGCGAGTTATTAATTTAATAAGGAAATAATCATCTTTAGATTACTCCTTTTGTTGAAAAAAATCTTTCTCTTTCAGACATGGATTTCTTCCCGACAAAACAATGGTCCTGCCTACAGTGATGATGGATTCTAGTTCTCACTCATGAAGTAATCAGTATTTTGTTCGATTTCTATATTGTATATATTATATTAAATGCATTTAATATATGAACTAGAGGGATTATCTTTCATAGTCTGTGTATATCATCATAAAATTACTTGTTCATTTTATTTCCTACAACTTTTATTGAATTAGTTTACACAGTTTTCTTCTTTTCCTCTCATCTCAGAATAAATGATATCAGTTTTATCTTATGAATGCGTTGTTTTTTTTTTTACTGGTTGTAAGTAGGATATGTTTAGGCTTGAGAGTAGTTGTTATGGACATAGTGTATATAAAGTCCATCCATCCATCCAGATCAACCTAGGACCCAGGCATTACTGCGTAACGGTTCGAGTTGCCGCACCTCATATCAGTACATCAAGTAAAAAGGCAGTGATGCGCAAGATGAAGATAAGAAAATTCAGTGAGAAGAAATTATAAAGTACGAAAAGAGAGAAAGGAAGAATGAGAAAGTGGTAAGATTCGGTATAGCGTCGTTAAGATGAGGATAATGTGTGTATACACACATCTGCACCACTGACATCGGTTCTCAGCCATATCACCTAGAGTAGTCTCCAACCGTGTATATAAAGTGGACATATCTCTGTTATTGTGCAGTCTGCAAACTATGAAGCATTTTATCAATACTCTAAACAGCTTATCCTCATAAGTTATTTAATTTCTGTTACTTTTTTTCGATTCATTCTACTAGTGTACTCTTTGCTCTAATTTCGTTATTTAACTAGGCGGATTTTATCTTCATTCAAATGACCTTTGTGTGTATCAGTGGCATTTTCATAGGTGTACATTAGTAAATATATGAGTAATAAAATGAAATGTTCCAGACAAATACCCCATCAAAGGTCAAATTTAATTTGTAAATGTGTTTAGGGTATGATATAATATTACGTAACACAAGATATGATGAAAATAGTTTTTAGAAAAGTACAGTGTGCAGTAACATTTGGTATCTAGTATCCGGTCACTGACTGAACTTAATTGATCGATCTCTACTGTCATGTGGGCTCCTGTGCGGATACTCCTGCAAGCCATTATCTATCATCAATATATGATTAAAACACAGGCAATATCGTGGCATCCTCGAAGGAGCCCATATGCCAATGGAGACCAATCAATTAGGACCAATCAACGACGGGCTAATATAAGCAACAACATTACAACTACCCGTCACACAAGAAGCGGTTATCATGATTCTGTTGGTCTCGAGTTCGAGTCCCAGCGAGAATAACATCATTCACTGGGACGCAGGTACATCCAGCTGTCGAGTCCCGAATAGGACGAAACGCGCATCCTGAATTCTTCTGCTAGCCACTACCCATCATTAATAGATAAATGAAAATCAAATGCAATCACAGGTGCAGAGAACCTGATTCAGGCCATGGTAAAGAGAGTGTTTGTACGTGTTTCTTTTGAATACGCAATTAAGGTGAAGGAGTGGGTTGTCAAAGCTTCGTCTGTACACACTTATCTAGTCTTCACCCTTTTTGAACGGTTCGGTCGAATTTTGTAGAGAACTTTGGATGAGGTTGTCAGAGGGGCCAGATGTCCAGACTTCACAGAATGTTCAACGATGAAGCTGGAAATCGTTTTGTGCTCACCCTTCAGCAACCAGGCTGGGTAATATTCGTGAGCGCATTTTTCAAACAGGCCTATAATACGGTCGATGTTACTAAGCTCCACAAGAGCAAGTGGACTTGTAAGTGAACACTGATGAGCGCCAATCCACCAGCTTATCTTTCACAGATTAAAGAATCATCTGTTGACAAGAAAAAACAAACGAAGGTTTGTGGGGTAGAAGGACTTAAACAAAGGTGAAGCATTTCCATCGAAGCTGTCTGAATTTGTTTCCAAACTACGAAGCATTTTATCAATAAACAGCTTATCCTCATAAGTTATTTAATTCCTGTTACTTTTTTTCGGTTCATTCTACTAGTGTACTCTGCTCTAATTTCGTTATTTAACTAGGTGGATTTCATTTTAATTCAAATGACCTCTGTGTGTATCAGTGGCATATTTCGAAATCTTTTCTTTACGATACGGAGTTGTGGCAATAAACGATAATACTCAACAATCGAGGGTTGAGATGGCTCAACTTGAATGATTCGCAACTGAGTTTATACTATTTCGGACTAAAAATGGACCCCATTTATAGAGTTTACAGTAACCTTGAGAGGTAAGGAATAATTAGTACATTTAAAGAGTCAGGAGCCAATCAGAATGCTAGCGGGTTATACGAAATATGACCTATGCTCGGGAAAAAGAGAGCGAAATAAAACAGTTCAAATATACCCAAACTGTAGGTATCAAATATAAGGGATATACGCATCCCTAACACCTTTATCCGACCATCTAGCCATTTACGAAGTATTTGCGTGACTTATTACGCGTTAAGTTCAGCTTTATTCATTTAATTGACTTAAATCACCTCAGGGATACTATACAGAAACTATAACAACTTTATCAGATATACTCTACCTGCTGTAAATGATTGTATACATTTGTTAAAGTTAGAAGTGATTGATCTGTTCACCTTGTATGTGAATATTGATCATTTACAATGAATTCTAGTTGTATTAGCAGTTTATTTCTAGCTGTCTACTATATCACCATTATTTGAGGTCATAACAACTGAAAGAATGCAATGGGAGTGTAGTGCATCAAAGCAGGGAATATTTTGGGTATGTTTATCTGATAGGAACTTAGCGGATTCTTCCTCTCCTCTGTCTGTCTCTCTCTATATGGTGTATGTTAATTGGATGAGGGTAGGGGGGGGGGAGACAGTTGGGAAGAAGCCTTGCACCTGTGTTTCGTGCTTATTGTCACTCGTCAGGTAAACGTATCTGCAACCTCGATAGAACTAATATCCCCTCTGAGGTTGGAACCTGCGTCACCCAGTATCGTAGCTAGCGATGTCGCCTAAAGTTTTCAACTGTCACTTCTTTTTTCCTTGCTGGACTGGGAAATCTATATTTCCGTAATTGACACAGATCAACAGTTAGAAACTTCATAGACAGGTTCCTTTTTCCTGAAATGTCTACTTTGTTCTATTTTCCCATAGGTAACATTGTCCACTGAGGTAGTTAGTGTTAAGGGTAAGTTTCTGTTAAACAACTGACTCATTGGTTTATGTACTTTAATTCCAATTAGTGGGTCATGGGTTCAAACTACTCCGTCTACTGAGGTTAGGGCAATCAGGCAGCATTAAACGATTGGTATGGCTTGTTGCTTACTACACATATATGCATCTGGTTGATAATAATAATTGCTTCTGACTTATCAGTAAGTAAGTATTTTCAATTGTTGTGTCTCTGGAGGTAACATTTCAAAACTGTAAAGCATAATAGTGGGCTAAAAAAAGAGACAACACTGCTGTAACCTGAAATTCATAGTTGCTTGTGAAGAGTGTATAACTTCTCTATATCAATCCACTGTTTATATACTCTTAACCAGTTAAGTGTAGAAATAACAGATCTGAGTAAGAGAATAGTTCCACTGATGATTACAATGAAACCAATAAGTCAAACAAGATTACTCACTCAAGATGAATGTGAGTAAGCTGTTGTAATCTGTATACAATTAGGTAAGATAAGTGGACTTTATAGTTCTTGTATTCATATCATTGATGTACATCAGTCTTCAACTGAATAAATAACCGTCATTTAGACAAGGTAATAGGATTATTTCTGCATTTGTATAGTCACGGATTAATGATTCAGTTTGATAACCTTGATAATGTATAAAAAGGATTGATGGAATTGGTATAAAATTAGAGGTTGTATTGAAAAATAGCCTATCATTGACTAATTGCTATCATCTGTGCTTGGTAGGTGGAGTTGAGGATGCGTGTTTGAAGCATTCGGTACTGGGTTTGAATGTCACTGGGAACACAGCACCACTCACTGAGGTGCAGGTACAGTCAGTTGACGATTGTCAAGATAGGATGAAATGAGCGTCCTGGATTCCACAGCGAACCATCAGGTAGACTGCAAAATAATGAATATCTGGTCAGTGTCGAGGCATCCACATAACAGCTCATCTACCAACAGAGGTCGAGCAATTCGGTCTTGTATAGCAACAAATTTCCATTTCGAAAATGAACCAGCCTTGATACAACACAACATAAATTAGCAACCGATATACTCAGAACTGACTGGAGTCTATCAATCAGTTGTCATGATCTAGCCATTAAGTTACGTGATGCGACGTTGCATTACCCTGATATTAGAAGTTAATTAGAAGAAAGCTCTGAACTCCCATTGCTTGTATTTTGAAGTGAGAGACTTCATCATTGAGCTATTACGGTTACCAATGCCCCACTGTGAAATGGTAGTATCTACGCTAATTGTTGAACATCAGTCGGATCCAGACACTCAGCAGCAATCTTATGGAGTAGGCAATGAATGAGCCACACTACCTGGCTATCCGAATCGGGATAGGTGGGCAGTGCTCGAACCTGTGACACTAGTTGAAAGTCAACTACCTAAACAAATGAGTTACAGCTCTACAATGCTTGACATGGAATTCATTCTGATTTTTAATGCTCTGCAAACTAAGACGATAGAGTGGGTGGTGTAATTGTGAAAGGGCTCAAAATGTACCTGTGCTGTTGGTGAAACAGTCTCCCGGTTTGTTACTCGTGGACTGGACTAAAACACAACGGTTTAATTTGCAGAACTGACTTGCATTGTTTTGTAGATTAACGACAAGCTGGTTTTGATGGTGATGTGAGAGATATAGGACCCATCTATCTAGAGAAGTTGATCTAACGGCTATAGTTGGTATTCGTGAAGGTTTCAGACAGTCTTTATTTCACGAGAATGTCTAATAGTGTAAGCTAGATTAAATACGAAGTTCTATTGGCTAACACCTAGCATATTATTGTAGCGTCACATACTTCTCCAGAATCAATAGCCTAGGAGGGTTCAATAAGATTCAACATTAATGCTGACTTTCATGGTTTTATCGAATTTGCCAAGCTGAAGGCACTCGGTCAAGCATCCACGTCATTTGGCACGCTGTCGTGTTACGTTGCACTGCTGGTAATCGATCCTCTAACCAGCTAGTCAGAATGCATCGGTATTTTGGTACAACCTCGCAAATATACTATCTCATCCGATTAAGGTATTGTGTTCTTTTTTGGTGAGTATATTACAAGTATGAATAATAAGTGATTGGTCTCTGCATCTATCAAGTTCGCGGAAGGAAAATTCCTAAATTCTTAACCAATAATAATTTCACCTTACTAATACATATGTATAGCTTCATTTACTTTGAGGAGGAAAAACTGAAACGGTTGAATAAAATTCACTGGGAATAAATTATCTTTCAAAATATACAAATCAAGAAATATCTTTTATATACGCTGTATATCGTGTTCTGGACTAGAGATAATTCAAGGTAGATGTTACAAGAAAGGCAGAAAAAGGAACTCTCTAATTGGTAGAAATAAACACGGTCAAGGTCATTTTAAGGTCGACAGATTTTAATCGATGAAAGACATACACGTCGTCTAGAATGCATAACATAAATTAGGTAGGTTAAGATATCAAATTCAATAAATTGTTCATAAAAAGGGAAAGCGATTGAAGATAATTCTAGAACGAAGAAGAAGAAGAAAAATAAATAAATAAATAAATAAAGCTGTACAGTTAAAATAGATACTTCTCAGTAAATTTAAGGTATAGGATAAAAGAAAAACTTACAAATGAATACATCCTTCAATTTAAAACAAAACAACCGTTTATTTAACGATTGATTGATTAACAGGACATAAGCTTATTTATACAAAAAGTAAAAAAGTAAGTAATGAAGCATACATATCAAAGTCATGTAAACTTAAATCATGGAAGACAATCAATTTTTGTTTTATTCAACTTCTTGATATTTGAATCATACGTTACAATGAATTGAATTCCCATCCTTACACACACACACACACACACACACACACACACACACACACACACACACACACACACACACACACATTGTTGACTAGAATTATTTCTTTAGAAATGAAGATGATGAAATATTGTCAACATTGTAGATTGATTTCAATTTGTTCAATTCAGCTGTTAATATCTCAATCTAATGATTTTTTAACAAAAACAAATCGAAATAAGCATTAGTATTCTACTTACAAATAGTATGAATTAATTGACAAGTAATAAAGTTAACAATATCACATACTATAATTAATACTGACTAATGGGAATAAATCGATTATTAAAAAGGCCTTCTACAGTGTCGACTGAAAAATAATTTGGTAGTTGCTTCAACACTACAGTTTGAGTGCCGCAAAACCTTTATCAATCTCATTCAACAATTATACGACGACATTACATGCCAAGTGATTAAGCCTGTGTACTATCATCCATGATCTTTGTGATTGTGATCGACTGGATCATGCAGTAAAACGGTGAGGAGCGAGAAGAGAAGCACACGCTGACAGGAAAGGCAGAGCAGCGAAGACTGCACTTCAAGTGAACATAGAAAAGACAGAGGTGATAAAGATACCCAACCAACAACAGCACCAATCACCATGAACCGGAGAAACCCAAAAGAAGTAGTCTCTTTCATCTACCTAGGCAGCATCGTTTCAACTACACGGGGCACAGGCACAGATAAGGACGTCAAAGCCATTAACCTGAAACCAGTGTAGTGATTGGCTGCACTCAGCATAAAGCGTGAACAACATTCGGATTTTCAACACCAACGTCAAGTCAGTGCTGCTATATGGTTCAGAAACTTGGTGCGTTACGAAAAGCATTTCCAACAAAGTATAGACATTCATCAACAACTGCCTACGCTGACTCGTTACTGAAGCTGAGATGGCCAGAATAGTAAGAATAAGCAACAAGGAACTCTGGCTGGCTGGCAACGAACGAACCAACCAAGAACGTATCACCCAACAGATATGCAGAAGAGAAAAGTGGAGATGGATTGGACATACACTGAGAAGAGCGATTGAGGACATCACGCGCCAAGCCGTCGAGTGAAACCCAAAGGGGAAACGACGAGTTGGGCGTCCTAGGTGAGGGTGACATGGAGGAGATCATGTGAGGAAGAAATGAAAGCTTCTGAGCAGACGTGGAGCCAGACTGCAGAGAAGAGAGTGCAATGAAGACATGATAATGAAACCTGTCCTGCTTTTCCGATCCTGTCTTTGACGTCCTCATGTGTGTTGCCGCCTGTAGTTGAGTTGTAATTAACATCGCCCACGCATAAGGAGCAATTTACAGTCAGCTGACTAGGGAACACCAAAAGTTATGAATCAATGATTGAAGATCCTTGGTGATAGTGAAAATCAATCGCGGAGACTCAGATGTATTCGTTTTTTTATCACCTTTGTAATTCCTAAGGCTGTTATTGATCCATATACGTTTGTTTCTTCATTTTTCTATTGAAAATGTGTGAGAATTAGACTTCTGTTTCATCCAAGTTTGGGGTTTGTTAACAGTCTACACACACCCTGTGATCTTGAGGAGGATTGAGGTCAGCATTGTTAGGTTCATATTTTCCTAATTCTGCCAGTAAATATATATTGCATGATCATCATCACATCCAGTATTGTCAACAATCTACTTCTACTGATCTTATCTTCATATATCTATGAATTATGAGAATGGAAGTCATTATACATTTATGAGACACTCTACCTTCGTCTATCTGTTATTGTCTTTATCACTTGTAATGAACAATGACAGTTCAACGTATATGACGAATTTCATTTCGTATTAGGTGAATTTCAAGATATCGAAACATGTCAGGTAGACAGACAGACAAAATCAACATAGAACCTTGTTACACATCACAACAGTATACAGGAAACAGGTGAATAGAATAAGAATGACATCAAAGTAGATAAAGTTATGTAATAGAATGAACAATCATTACGGACTAATATCATCAGTAGGGGAGTCATTGAAAACTTGGGAGTGCTAGACAGATGTTTCGTCCTAGTATGGGACTTCTCAGCAGTACTCATCCATGACCCCCACCTCAACTCAGGACGTGAAGCGTTCATAGTGAATGAGTTAACCATTCAATTATACACGCTTACAACTTTAAAAATAAAATCCCCATTTATGAGATTTCTTGTGAATTGACGTTGGACTCAATCATTACGAAGACTATTTCATTGAATCGATATTTACTAAGCTGTATACATTCAGTCTCATTGTACTTAGCACAATGCAATTCAGTCAATTGACTAAAGAATTAAACATGAAATCACCTAGACAAAGCGTATCAATACTGTATTCCTGTTTTGTGAAGCATTTGCTTATTGGTTTAAAGGAGTTCGCTTTTACTCAGTGGATGACAAGCAAGTTCAAACAACACTTCTGCCTGCTACCGATGTTCAATCAATCAGATAGTATCATTAGGTGTGTAGCTCATTGCCTATTGAATGTAAGTGCATAAAGTCTCTGAGTGTGTTTCATCCTCTGACGAACGACGACAAGTTCTACTGTGGTCTACTGTGTGATACGCCATGTTGTATACTTCGAATATTCGTCTAACACCAGTCGAATAAATGATGTGTATTGAATTCTTAGAGAGTGTATGTTAAATATTCTCACTATAGAAGATATGAAATGGGAAGTATTCAATCCAAGAGTTACGTTTTCCATTGACTCATTTTCAAAATATACAATCACCTAAATGCACTCCACTCAGCATAAAACGTGAACAACATGCGGACTTCCAACACCAATGTAAAGTCAGTGCTTCTATATGGTTGGGAGATTTGGCGTGTTAAGAAAAGCATTTCCAATTAACTGTACATATACAACATCACATCAACAGCTGCCGCCTACTCTCATTCGATATTGAAGATGGAGATCAGATAGCGAGAATGATAAGAATAAGCAAGGAGGAACTCTGCCTGCCTGGCAACGAACCAACCAAGAATCTATCACTCAACAAATATGCAGAAGGAGAAATTGGAGATGGACTAGATTCGATTGGAGATACACTGAGAAGACGATTTAGGGACATCATGCATCAGGCCAGGCTGTCGAGTGGAACCCAAATGAGAAACGAATACTTGGGCATCAGAGAGTGACATGAAAGAGATCATGTGAGAAAGAAATGAAAGCTTCTGGACAGACGTGGACCCAGGTTCAAAAGACTGCAGAGAACAAAGTGAAATGGTGATGTGCTATTGAAATCGTATGTTCCACTAGGAACCCAAGGAACAAATAAAACAAGACTGAGAAAATCAACGTAGAACTTCACACTCAGGTGAATCGGCTCAAGTTGTCACACTTCATAATCGTACAAAAAGAATAGGTGGATAGAAAAAGAGTGATATCAAAGTGGACGAAGTTGTATAAGAGAACAAACAGTCTGAAGAGATCAAAGAGTGAATAGATCTCGTCCCTTGTGACTGATTATCAGCCATGTCACCAAGAAACCTCAACAACTAATTCTCATCGTCTCCGAGACCCTAACCAGACAATCTACACCTATTAATACGACACAGAGTAACAGTCAAGGACTTCATAGGCCGGTGTCACATCTTCGTTACGCCACTCTGAAACCTCTACCAACGTAATTCAACTTTTTCACCTACTATGATATATCAAGGTAAGCGGCAATGGCTTGGTTATATACAAAACACAATCATGATATATACAATGATAAATGACGATATATATATATAAATATAACTGAACTCACCTTATCTTTCAACATTTTATTCTCTATAGCATATCGATTGATTATAATATTATGAAATGAATTATTTACACAAGATGAAGATGATAATGACACTTCATCATTGAGATGATCTTTATTGATAAGATACTTTTTAGGATTTGTATTGAATTGATTTCTCTCCATTATAGAATTATTATTATATTGATCAAGATGATTTTGTTCAGAATAGATTTGAAATATTCCATCTGTTGTAAGAGCAATCACTAATCCTTGTTGTAAAGAAATCTGTTAACAAGAGATAGGAGATAGAAAATTGATATCAATAGGATTATATTAGATAATGAGATAAACTGATTCGAATTCCCTCTTCAACTCTACAAGTGAGTAAACTTCAGATGTGTTATGCTTTTTAAGTTGTTATTCATCGTACACTGACATCAGTTGGAGGAACAAAGGAAACCTGGGAGCACTAGACAGCTGGTTTGTCCTAGTATGGGACTCCTCAGCAGTGCGCACCCACGACCCCACCAGCAGGGATGGAACCCACTGGTGGGGTCGTGGGTGCGCACTGCCGAGGAGTCCCATACTAGGATGAAACAGCTGTCCAGTGCTCCCAAGTTTCCTTAGTTCCTCCAACTGATGTCAGTCTACGATGAATAACAACTTGAAATAATTCCAAATCTCCACAACTCCCTCAAAGTTTATGCTTTTATAAAGAATCTGTTATCATTCTGCTACTATCAACATTTACCTAGTCTTTAGTCAATATCATTAATACGGATAAATAGAATAGGTCACTAATAACATCTCTATCTATAGCATTGGATGACGCATGGGTTCGAGTCCGACGTGGGAGATGGCACCAGTTCCATGTAATTGGTTTTTAGACAATTCCTTTAGTGATGAATGCTAGATGAAGCACAGTTTCCTATCGATTCCTGTTAACCGACTATAATATTAATTAACCAAAGCTTTTTTGAAATATCACCTACTTGATTATTCAAAACTCAATAAAGATTTCATTTAGAAGAGATAACTTTTTGAAACGTTCAACAATGAACCCTAAACCTTAAAAATATAAATGAAATCAACAATAGAATAGATCACTTATCGATACAGACTGATAGACAAAATCAATGTACAACCTCGCATATAAATGCATCAGCTCAACTTGCCAGATGAATAGAAAAAGACTGATATCAGAGTAGATGTTGTATGAGAGGACACCAAGTGTCAGGGACTTCATGGATTAGTGTCACGTCTTTGACTGGTCATCCTGAACTCTCTTCCAACTTAATCCAACATCCTCACCTAGATTGGGACGTTGAGATGAGAGGTGGTACGGTTTACGTAATACAAGTAGAAGCCATCTCAGTTGAATAAAGTTCATAGCCTCACAAATCGACTTGCATGTCTTGTCTAGTACCCTTTGTCTGACTTCAACATTACTCACACGGTGATTCTACAAAACGTAAACAAATGCTTCAGAGACATTTGTGATAAAAAAACTTGTGAACGCTTCGTATCTTCTATGTTTAACAGCCTTGTCTCACAGCCTTACAAGAGGACAGAATGGACTAGAACACAATATGCTCGTCGTTTGATAGGCAGTTGGATATCTCACCTGCGCAAGAGATGACACAAGTTGATAAATCCCAACTAGAAATTTATGTAACTGACATCATGAGTTGATTATTATTCTCTGTCCCTTGGGTTCCTAGTGCAACATAGGGCTTCAGTAGCACGTCTCCACTACACTCTCTTCTCCACAATCTTTTCAGCCTGGCTCGACGGCAGTCCACAACCTCTCATTTCTTAGTCACACCATCTCTTCCATGTCACCCTCACCTAGGACGACGCCCAACTCGTCGTTTCCCATCTGGGTCCCACTCGACGTCCTGGCCTGGTGCGTGATGTCCCCAGTCGGCCTTATCAGGGTATGCCCAATCCATCCCCACTTCCACTTTCTTCTACATATTTATTGAGTGATAGGTTCTTGGTTGGTTCGTTCATTGCCAGCCAGCCAGAGTTCCTTGTTGCTTATTCTTACTGTTCTGGCCATCTGAGCTTCAGTAACGAGTCAGCGTAGGCAGTTGTTGATGAATGTCTATAGTTTGTTGGAAATGCTTTTCGTAACGCGCCAAGTTTCTGAACCATATAGCAGCACTGACTTGACGTTGGTGTTGAAAATCCGAATGTTGTTCACGCTTTATGGTGAGTGCAGTGCAGAAGATCTCCACACTGGTTACAGGTTAATGAACGCCTGTCTTGCTATCTTTCCGATGCTGGCTTTGACGTCCTCATCTGTGCCATCTGTAGTTGAAACAGTGCTGCCTGGATAGGTGAAAGAGGCTACTTCCTTTAAGTTCCTCCCGTTGATGGTGATTGGAACTTGTTGTTGTTGGTTGGGTATCTTCATCATATGAGTTGATGATTACTGAATTCGAATCAAATAACTAAACATCATTGTGGTAACCATAATACTCTAGAATGGATGATTAGACTGGTATATAGGTTAGTTAAGAAATTTTAGTGGTACTTTCGATTTGATAAGTCAAGTTTATTTTACAAGGAATCTACAATTAGGAATTATACTAATAACCACATTAATGAAACTCAGCTATACAGTAGAATCTTCAACCTATGCACAGACATGTACTCTTATCATGGTTGTAAAAGAGATTCTAGGCGTGATAAGTATTAATTACAGAATTGATGGATAGTAATGTGGCTGATTTGTCTTCTAAGCAGTCCATATCATTTGATCGAGGTAACCCGGTCATAAGAAAAGTATTACTACTATGGACAGTGATACTGTAGTGGACGTTGCTCATCAGAATGGATATAAGTAGTATATGTTGAGAGGGCGACAAAATTCATAGGCAATTACCAGCAATGAGTGAACATTCTGCCCAGAGAAACGCAAGAGACAATGTAGGCGTATAAAGAGCAAATCAAGATGGAAGCAGAAGAGGAGCACATTATGCAAATGACTGTTTTAGTGGAAAGTGTACAATATTTGATGACTACTGTACACGATGTCAATAATAAACATTCCTTCCTTCGTGTCAGTCTTGTTATTTTCTACAATTGGTATCGCTGACACAGGATGTGATGAAGACTTAGTGGCTTGCAGTGCTTGGGGATGGAGACATCAAAGTCTTCCTCAGGGACTTCGTGTCGATCGGGAGCTGGTTGGCAGTGATTCCGAGACGTCTACCCGACAATATGATACAAGAATGTCACCAGTTAGCTCATACAGCTGTTTCATAGACAGCCGACCTTCTCAGACAAAGTGTATACTGGCAAGGTATGAGAGGTGTTGACAAACAGGTTCTGGGCTGTCCATACGACCACCGTTTCAGTCGGTTCTAGTGGCAGCAGTTGGTGACCTGTTGACGTAATGGGACCATTTCCACAGACATCCAGTGGCAACCAATACCTGTTGGTGATGACGGAGCATACCACAAGATGAGTAGATGCCGTTGCGATTCCTGATCAACACGAAAAAACAGTGACTGTGGTGGTTAATGCGGCATATTGTCGCGGGTCACAGTGTACCAAAGACGATACTGACCGACTAAGGTCCTTGTTTTGAGAGTGATAAATTCAAATCTTGTTTGGAGCAGCTTGGTATCAAGAGGATAAGAGCGATGCCGTATCACTAACAGTTTGACAGAAGGGAACAACTGTACACTTAAGGAGTGGCTGGCTGCGAAAGGAGGAAATCGGGAGATGAAACTGCCATCAATATTATTAGTGCATCATACCTCGGTACAATAAATAACCAATAAGTCGTCGTTCCAGCTAATGTATGACATAAAACCACGGCTTCCAATGCATAATGAGACCTGGCCAAAACAGCAGCCGTGAAATATGACAAGATTGAGAAACAAGCAGAAACAGGCAATGAGAAATATGAAACAAAAACAGAAAACTGATGGTGACGAATCCGAGCAGAGAGAAGGAAGTAAATGGAAACCGTTTGAGGTTGGAGATCAAGTGAAATGTAGAAAAGAAGGATATACTTCAGGAGGTGAATATTGTAGGAGGAAACTGCTCCCGAATTTCTCCGGACATATGGTTATTGAGAGATGCGGTTTAGTTTTATACCATCAAAAAAGGGGACAAATAGAAAAGAGTAAATGCGAACCTACTTCAAAAATGGAGACGCTTGGAAAAAGAAGAAACATTGCATGAACACTAAGATGATGATCACGGTTGCAAACTCGAAATGTTGACGGGGGAACGAATGTAGTGGGTGTTGCTGATCAGGATGGATATAATAATAATGATAGTAATACTAATACTAATACTAACAGTAACAATAATGATAATAATAATACTAATGTATTTTTGAGGTGAATGGGGATTTTTAATTTAGAAGTAGTATTCATCATGGACTGGCAACTGATGTCAGTCCATGATGAATACTACTACTAAATTAAAAATCCCCATTCATATCAAAAATGCATTACTCTATAGTGCTGATTAGTGACTTGCTTCCAGATGGATGTTAGGAAGTTCTAATGAGAAGCCGTGACGTGTGGGGTCAACCAGTCGGAAGTGAAACAGATGTCAACTGAAGACCTTGGGTGACAGTCACGCTATGTCATGAATTGACAGAAATTGGAAATTGTGAACCACCGGAAACCAACCCAGTGGCTGAATGGTTAACGCGTTCGTCGTGAAACCTGAAGGTCCTGAGTTCGACCCCTAGCCGGTCGTCGGTGCATACTACTTAGGAGTCCCATACTAGGACGAAACAGGTGTCCAGTGCTTCCAGATCTTCAATGGTTCCCCAACTGATGTCAGTCCATGATGAATACTACTTCTAAATAATGATAATAATCATTCACTTTATTCCAAACAATTTGTGATACAGTTTGGAATTCACAGTATCATATATATTCCAACAACAACAAAATATACGTGTGTATGTATAGTACTCCTTTACAACATTTTGTATTGTGTTATCATAAAAAGTTAAGTAATGTAAAGAAAACGAGAACAGTTTACATTGTTAGTTGAATGAGTAGAAATGAGATTGTTAACTATTACAAAGTTGATATGTGAGTTCTGTTCCCAATACTATTTTCCTCACATAAAATGCGTGTCAGGTAAGGTACAGTCGAATTCTTATACTTAGTTGTACAGGTGTACATACACTCTGATGTAGTTTCTCCTTGTCCTCCCTGAGGAGATATCAGGTCAAGGAGAGCTGTAAATGAAGTGAATGCTCACTGTCAGTTAAAATTTCTGTAGCTAGTAGCTTACAGGAATTTATATGTCTATCAACTAAAGTGTTAATCAGTTGAACCAGAGACACACCATTCACCCTGTTGACAGTCTTCAAAACCCTAGGCAACATAATATAGTCCTTTTTTTAGAAGATCAGGAAAGATCAACGGGGGAACAATAGACAGGAAGAATAGGTAAAATGCAGAAATCGATAAATTGTACAAGGAGAAGTTGAGTTATACCACACAGACTCAGTTTCTTCATGTAATATGAGATTTAAGCAACTCACCCAAATCTTGTTTATACCTAAGGCTAAAATTAATAGTAGTATACGTTTAGAAAGCAGTAGAAATCATATGCAATTATTAGTAATGGGTAAACATTCTGTTCAGAGAAATGCAAGTGACAATATAGATGTATTACCTCCTTCACTTATCTAGGAAGCACAACGAGGACGTCAAAGTCAGAATCGGAAAAGCAAGACAGGCCTTCATTAGCCTGAAACCAGTGTGGAGATCTTCTGCACTCAGTATGCGGAACAAGATACGGATTTGCAACACCAACGTCAAGTCAGTGCTTCTGTATGGCTCAGAGACTTGGCGCGTCACGAAAGGGATTTCCAATAAACTACAGACATTCATCAACAACTGCTTACGCTCACTCGCTACTGAAGATCAGATGGCCAGAATAGTAAGAATAAGCAACAAGGAACTCTGGGAACGAACCAACGAAGAACCTATCACCCAACAAATATGCAGGAGGAAGTGGAGATGGATTGGACATGCACTGAGAAGGCCGACTGAGGACATCACGCGTCAGGCCAGTTGCTCGAGTGGAATCCCCATGGGAAGCGACGAGTTGGACGTCCAAGGGTGACATGGAGGAGGTGGTGCGAGGAGGAAATGAGAGGTTGTGGGCTGTCGTGGAACCAGGTTGAAAAGATCTCAGAGAACAGAGGTCACTGGAGATGTGCTACTGAAGCCCTATGTTCCACTAGGAACCCAAGGGACTAATATAATAATAATAAGAGGAAATCAAGATAGAAGGAGAATAAGAAATGAAGTATATTATACAAATGACTATACTAGATGTTTTCCATCAATACTATTCACATGGATAGATAATAAAAGCTATAAATATACTTAATAATTAACTTACTTTTTTCAAAACTTTCAATTGTTCATAGGTTTCATCAATATCTGATGATATAAATTTCATTGTTAAACTTCCATATTTCATTAATAAATGAATTGTATACTTTAAAGATGATATAGATGAATAAGTATAGTTTATTTCTTTAATAAATTGATATGTATTCATTTGTTGATAGATTTTAATGAATAATTGTTCAATTGTTGATGAAATATTTAATTCCCAATTATTTAATAAAATAGCATTAATATATATCCATGAATAATTATTATATGATGATACTTCAATTGATGTATCATCATTACAACTGCCAATACTTAAAAATATATACCATAAATTATTATATTGTATCATTTCATTATCACTCTGATTATTTTTATCATTTTTTGATATAATAATACTAGATGGTATAGATGTAGATGATTGAAATGAATCTTTAGGTTTAACATACAATTCAAGTGATTGAAAGATTATCCAAAAACGTGATTCTATATTACTACCGTCTACAAAAAAAAATACAAATTTGAAAGGGTTAAAGTTGATATTGTAAACAAGAAAAGTGAAATATTTTATGGATTAAAACTACGTAACAGTCAGAGTTGCCACACTTCATATCACTATATCAAGTAAAAAGGCAGTCAGGTGCAAGATGAAGATAAGAAAATCCAATCAAATAAAATATAAAGTACGCAAAAAAGAGAGAAAGGAAGAATGATAAAATGGTGAGAATTGGTATATCGTCGTTCTGCATCACCCCACATAGCTGAAACCAACAGTCAGAGACTTCATACATTGATGCCATGTTTTAGTCTGGCCACCTAGAGCCTTTTTCCAGCTTGAACCTACTTCGGCTAACATTGTGTAACGAGGCAATCGGTGACTAGGCATAGGTAACACGTGTCCCAACCATCTCAGTCGATGAAGGTTCATAACCTCATCAACCGACTTACCTCTTCTCCCTAAAACTCTACACCTGACTTCGGCGTTACTCACGTGGTGACACCACGGAATACTGTCTACACTACGAAGGCAACGGTGGTCAAACACTTGAAGCCTTCTCATATCTTCCACCTTCAATCGCCGTTTCACAGTCATACAGTACAACAGACCGGACTGTTGTGCAGTACAAGCGACCCTTAATACACAATCAGATATCACCGTGGCGCCACAGGTGGCGTAAGTTGGCAAAAGCCAGTCGAGCCTTTTGTATCCGTGCAGAGGTTTCACCGGCGACTGAGCCATCAACGCTGATCCTACTTCCCAGGCAAGTGAAGTGGTCAACACATTCAACCACTTCACTCTCTATTGTTAGCCGTGGCACTGTTGAAGGCCAGTCCTTTAAGAAGAAAAATTTCGTCTAACTCCACAGTAAACTGCCAGTTAACTCAAGAGACAACTGAAAGAATAAACAAACGATTTAACTTTTACACAGAAAGGTATGAGGATTCTAGCATAATACCTAAAAATCACGATACTACACCTGAATGATATTTTTAAACCTTGATTACACTCTAGTTTTTATTGCTGATTAGTTGTCTACGGTCAGTGTGAACAAAAGTGTGTCTAAGATTTTAAGTTCTACAGGAATTAGATACTTAAACAAAAAAACCGACAACAGAGAAACTCGAGAAAATCATGTAGCTTTCAGACTTGGTACTGGATTTATTGATTGAACGCCCAATTTCTATCAACTTTTGGAATATAAATATACTTATTATCATTATTATTTTTCCCTTGGGTTCCTGATGGAACATAGGGCTTCAGTAGCACGTCTCCAGTACACTCTCTTCTCTGAAATCTTTTCAACCTCGCTCTACGACATCCCACAACCTCTCATTTCCTCCTCGCACGATCTCCTTCATATCACCCTCGCCTCGGACGCCCAACTCGTCGTTTCCCATCTACCTTCCACTCGACTGCCTGACATGGCGCGTGATGTCCCCGAATGGTCTTCTCAGTGTATATCCAATCCATTTCCACTTTCTTCTTCTACATATTTGTTGGATGATAAGTTGTTGGTCGGTTCGTTGATAGCCAGCCAGCCAGCCAGCCAGCCAGCCAGCCAGCCAGCCAGCCAGCCAGCCAGCCAGCCAGCCAGCCAGCCAGCCAGCCAGCCAGCCAGCCAGCCAGCCAGCCAGCCAGCCAGCCAGCCAGCCAGCCAGCCAGCCAGCCAGCCAGCCAGCCAGCCAGCCAGCCAGCCAGCCAGCCAGCCAGCCAGCCAGCCAGCCAGCCAGCCAGCCAGCCAGCCAGCCAGCCAGCCAGCCAGCCACAGTTCCTTGTTGCTTATTCTCATTATTCTGGCAATCCATCCGAGCTTCAGTAACGAGTCAGCGTAGGCACTTTGTAGTTGTTGGGAATGCTTTTCGTAACGCGCCAAGTCTTTGAGCCATATAGAAGCATTGACTGACTTGACTGAATTAGTGTTGAAAATCGGGATCCCGTTCAGGCTTTATGCTGAGTGCAGTGCAGAAGATCTCCACACTGGTTTCAGGTTGATGATCGCCTGTCTTGCTGTCTCTCCGATGCTGGCTTTGACATCCTGGTCTGTGTCTGTGCCACCTGTAGTTGAAAGGATGCTGCCTAGGTAGATGAAAGAGACTACTTCTTTAGGGTTTCTCCGGTTCATGGTGATTGGCGCTGTTGTTGGTTGGGTATCTTCATCACCTCTGTCTTTTCTATGTTCACTTGAAGTGCAGTCTTCACTGCCTCTTCTGTCAACTTGTTAGTTTTCGCCTGTAGATCTTCGAGTTTGCGTGACATTAGACACAAGTCATCGGCGAAATCCAAATCTTCTAGGATCCAGCGTATCCCCCTTTTCTGTAGTGTTGAAGCAGTTTTCAACTTACTTCTCGGTCGACGCTGTCGAAGGCCTTTTCAAAGTCGATTAGGTTGAGGTAGAGAGTTAACTGTCATTCTGTACTCTGTTCTATGATGATCCTTAGCGTTGCAACTTGATCCGCATATGATTTGTACTTCCTGAATCCAGCCTGTTCCGGTCGTAGTTTTGAATCCAGCGCATCCTTTTATCTCTCAAGGAGTATGCGGCTTAATATTTTGCTTGCTATGGGTGGACAGGAGAGTGATTCCGTGCAAGTTCTTGCAAAGACTTAGGTCGCCCTTGTTTGGGACCATTTCACTAGATTACCTGTCAATGTTCCCTATAACAATTGTACGTCTTTTGTAGAACAATCTCCGGTAAGTTTATCTTCATCGTTAAGAAAAGATATTTTACAATTATATTCGATTTTATTCATGATCAGAACACTTGACACTTGATCGAGTCTGACGATAACAATATCAGGGTTATGTCTTACTTAATTCAGAAGTTAGAATACTTTTTTTCTGCTTCTGATAACTATCACAAAACTGGTGAATGATATCCACTATCTTGGCTTTCGACTAGCCATAATCATCAACTGACGTTGCAACAAGATATTTCAACTGATGGTACAGAATGACATTACGGTAGAATTGTAGGAATTTCACTGGCACTGCCGAATAGTTGACTTTCGTTTAATGTTCGATACTCAAAGTACAACTATACTAGACAGTGTATCCTGAATGAATATCAACCCTCTACCTCAACTTCATCGATTTTGAGAAGGCCTTCGACAGCATCGACTGAGCAATAATTGGGAAACTACTTCAACACTACGGAATACTACAAACCTTTATCAGTCTCATTCAACAACTATATGAAGACGCCACATACCAAGTAATTCACAATGGGAAGCTCAGTGATGCTTTTGAAGTGAAGACAGGAGTAAAACAAGGCTGTCTACTATCACTCATGATATTCCTGATTGTAGTGGACTGGATCATGCAACAAACAGTGAGGAGTGAGAAGACAGGAATACGCTGGACCGCGGAAAAGAACCTAGAAGACTTAGATTCCGCCGATGACTTGTGTCTGATGTCACACAAACTTGAAGATCTACAGGCGAAAACTAACAAGTTGACAGGAGGCTGGGCAGCGATGAAGAGACATCAGATGAATGTAGAGAAGACGGAGGTGATGAAGATATCCAACTAACAACAACAACAACAACAACAATAGAAACAACAAGCTCCAATCACCATCAACGGGAGAAACTTAAAGGAAGTAGTCTCTTCCACCTATCTAGGCAGCACTGTTTCAACTACAGGCAGCACAGAAGAGGATGTCAAAGCCAGCCAGGATCGGAAAAGCAGCAAGACAGGCTTTCATTAACCTGAAACTAGTGTGGAGATCTTCGGCACTCAACATGTGGAACAAGATCCGGATTTTCAACACTAATTCAGTCAAGTCAGTCAGTGCTTCTATATGGCTCAAAGACTTGGCAAGTTACGAAAGGCACTTCCAACAAACTACAGATATTCATCAACAACTGCCTACGCTGACTCGTTACTGAAGTTAAGATGGCCAGAATAGTAAGAATAAGCAACAAAGAACTCTGGCTGGCTGGCAATGAGTCAACCAAGAACCTATCACTCAACAGAAATGTAGAGGAAGAAAGTGGAGATGGATTGAGCATACACTGAGAAGGCCGACTGGGGACATCACGCGCCATGCCAGGAACTCGAGTGGGACCCAGATGGGAAACGACGAGTTGGGCGTCCCAGGTGAGGGTGACATGGAGAAGATCATGTGAGGAAGAAATGAAAGCTTGTGAGCAGTGGTAGAGCGAGGTTGAAAAGATTTCAAAGAAGAGAGTGTACTGGAGACGTGCTACTGAAGCCCTATGTTCCATTAGGAACCCAAGGGATAAATAATAATAATATGATAATCTTTTCATTATACAGCCTATTTATATGAGGTTTTCATCCAGTGAATTCGTATGAAGACTAGCATCACAACAATTACTACAACATGATAATGCAGACTTTTTGTAGATACAAAGGAGTTCGAACCTATGACATGAGAGGCGAACAATTGAATGAACAAACCACAACTTCACTTTTATATATAAATAATGAAAAAAGATAAAAATAATGGGTTAAATGAAAAGAATTCAAATTATATGACTGTTATAAATTTACCTGCTTCACATAATAATCCATCTAAATGAATAGTAATATTCGACATATTTGACTCTTTCCATTTACAAAATTTATTATAAGCACTATTGATTGTTTCTGTTGGACATTTAATAGACTGTGATGATTTCGACTGTTGACAGTGTTCTGTTGACAACAACGTGGAAGTAACAGTAGTTGTTGTCGTCATCGAAGGGTTTGGTTTACAACCAACAAACTCCTCTTCTAACATTTCTGAACCAACTTCATCGGGACACAATAATAATAATGATGATGAATCAGACAAATGACTACCTTGATATTTTTGTCTCTGTTGCTGTTGTTGATGGTATTGAACAGAAGACTGTACAGGAAGATCGGTTTTATGTTTTGTATAGATGGTATCCTCATTAGGTAGCCATAAAATATCACTACTATCATTTGGACACGATTTTAGATTGGATAACATTTCATATGGTTTAGTCCAGTCATCTGTTGAACTGGTAAGACTTTGTACATCAGATAAATCACTGGAAATTGAATGCCTTTCAGCCATATAAGGAGTAGATGAATCATTATTCCAAATATCATCCTACAGAGAAAAGGATACAAAGAGTAGAATTGAAACAGTGTAACAAAACAAACGATAACATTTTAGACTACTAACTAATCTAATCAGTAGTTAAAAACTGATTTTCGAAAAAGCTCGAATTTCATGTCTTTCAGATAACGTTAGTAAAAAGATAACAGGAACTTAATTTGCGCTAACTAGTTTTTTAAATCTATTAGCCAAATAACCACCACATCAATTTAATGATACAGATGGAATTAGTTCAATAGGTAATAAAGTGTTGGAATGATTTGTAAACTGTCCACACAGCATATATAATATAGAATTTGTTTACCAGGTTGACAATGTGAAATAGCCATGGTTTGGAAGACTTGATTGAAGGCGAAATGCGAATTTGGGCTAAAGTAGTGCGATTCAAATCAGCCATCAGCGTCTGCATCATTGAGGCCAACTCTAAGAACCATTCCACCTAGTCTTCGACCACTGATCTTGGTTGTCACACGGACCTCAAAACCGGAAATCTGAATTTCCCCTATATAGCTCCGACCAACAGATGGAGACTGTATGGACTGAGTTTTACAAAGAAGGAAAACAGCCTAAAATGGATTATGCACATCATCAATCTAACTTCTAGTATAAATAGCAAACCAGTAGATAGTAAGAGAAATATGAGTTTCACAATAATTTGATGAAATATTGATGGATGAGGTCGCATAACACAACAAAGGACTGAAAAAGAATTACTCCTCAAAAGTGGGTGCTCTGCAACTGGAAAGAGTTCGACAAACAAAACCCTAGATTCAGGGTTGACACGTTCTGAACCACCAAAGATTTTTCTTTACTCAAAAACCTGAAGAAAATCCCTCTTTTATCTAAGCCTTAAGCTTGCTCTGCTATACTATACATTCTCCTCTGTCATTCCAATCATATTGGTAAGCATAACCGAGACACTTGAGATAAATTGATCTTGGTAACTAGCAGAGGAATCCAGAAAACGCTATCATCCTATTTGGGACTCATCAGCTAGATGTACCTGCACCCACTGAGGCTCGAACCCAGAGAGTTATCTACTAACTGGGGTACGATAGCCACCTCTTGTACAATGGGCATCAGTTGTTGTTATGATACTTGTAATCTCCCGCTGTTATACAGGGTTGAAGTGCTCGAACTTTGTTGGCAGACGGGCTCCTATGCGGATGCCTCGATACTAGTGGCTACCATGCCCTAGTGGCTCTGGCGTTTAAAGCGAAGGATACTGAGTTCGAGTCCCGGTAGGAACAACACTGTGCACTGGGGTGCAGGGACATCCAGATGACCAGGCGAAACGCACGTCCTAGGTTCTCCTGCTGGTCACCAAGATCAACATAACATTATGAATATCCGGCAGTATCGAGGCGACCGCTTAGGAGCCCATCTACCAAGAGAGGTCGAACAATTCGGGCCGGTATAGCAACGAGAGATTACAAGTATCATTACAACTTGGGGTATATATTGAGACTCAGGTCTTGAAAAAGTGAAAAAGAACTTATACAATACAAGTACTGGTAAAAGTGTGAGGGTAATCGACACCTCCGTATTGCTGACGCCCTGAAAGGTTATCTGGAATAGAAAGTGGACCAGTATTGATTTATTATCACTATATTATTTGTCCCTTGGGTTCTTAGTGGAACATAGGGCTTCAGTAGCACGTCTCCATTCCACTCTCTTCTCTCCAATCTTCTTAACCTGGCTCAATGACTGCCCAGAAGCCTCTATTTCTCCCTCACACGATCTCCATGTCACCCTCAGATGCCCAACTCGTCGTTTCCCCTTTGAGAGCGTAGACGGCAGCTGTTCACATGTATGTGTACAGTTTGTTGGAAATGCTTTTCGTAACGCGCCAAGTCTGTGAACCATCATACAGAAGCTCTGACTTGACTGAATTGGTGTTGAAAATCCGGATGTTGTTCACTCTTCATGCTGAGTGGAGTGCAGTAGATCTCCACACTGATTTCAGGTTAATGAAGGCCTGTCTTGCTGTCTTTCCAATCCTGTACCACCGCTTGTAATTGAGACGATGCTGGCTAGGTAGGTGGAAGAGACAACTTTCTTTAGATTTGTCCCACTCATGGTGTTTGGAGCTTGTTGTTGGTTGGGTGTCTTCATCACCTCTGTCTTCTGTAAGTTCACCTGAAGAAAGTCCCATCTTACTTCGCTGCCCTGTCTCTTCCGCCAACTTGCTAGTTTTCCTCTGTACATCTTCGAGTTTATGTGACAGACATAAATCATCAACGGCGAAATCCAGATCTTCTACGGTCTTTTCACCAGTATATCCATATTCTCTCTCCTTACAGTTTGTTGCATGATCCAGTCGAGTCGACTCGACCATAATCAGAAAGATCATGGGTGATGGTAAGCGGCAGCCTTGTCTTACTTCTGTTCCCTGTCTTCACTTCCAAGGCACCATTGAGCTTTCCATTATGAATCGCTTGGCATGTATCGTTGTCAAACAGCTGTCGGATGAGGTTGATAAAATTTTATTATTATTATTTATACTTATTATTAGTCCCTTGGGTTACTAATGGAACATAGGACTTCAGTAGCACGTCTCCATTCTACTCTGTTTTCTGAAATCTTTTGAACCTGGCTCCACGACAGCCCAGAAGCTCTCATTTCCTCCTCGCATGATCTCCTCCATGTCACCCTCATACGTTCAACTCGTCGCTTCCCATCTGGGTTCCACTCGATGGCCTAGCCGGACGCGTGATGTCCCCGTAACGCGCCAAGTCTCTGAACCACCACACAGAAGCACTGACTTACGGTGGTGTTGAAAATCCGGATGTTGTTGACGCTTTATGCTGAGTGCTGAGTTCTATAATAAACAAGATGATGAGGTGCACCTTTCACTCACTTTCACTTGTTAAAAAGAAAATGCCAGTAAACTACACTTCTTGGATGTCTTGAATGCTAAGTAGAAGAGAAGATGGTTCATTTACTAGATGTGTCTACAGGAAGACTATATCTATAAGTCAGTATACACACTTTATTAGTCACGTACCAATTCGGAACAAAGTAAACATAGTTAAGTGTCTCACTAACAGAGTGAGAAGAATATGTTCAGATGATCTAGTACACAAGGAGTTAGAATATACATTTGTAATTCATTGGTTGAAATAGGTCACCTTAACAGTTTCGTAAAAAGACACAGACAAAGCCAAGGGAAACAAGTCTGAAATTGTTACAGAACAAAAGAAACCATTTTTTTTCATGAAATTGCAATTTAATGGAGATGTGACCAGTGAAGTTTTACCTCAAGAACTGTCTACAGCCATTAAGAGGATTTTCAATCGACCACTTGTTGTTGCTCAGATCAAAGATAAGATATGTGATTTTGTCATTTCTATGTGTATTTACAAGTTTAGCTGGTCATATGAAGAAAGCTATATAGGTCATACTACTAGACAACTTAACAGACGTGTTGCTGAGCATTTACATTCATGATTAGGAAAGGGAAAGATAAAAGCCATCAGAAGTACGGTTTCATCTCAACTCGTTGATAGTAGTCAGGTGAAAGGAGAAAATTTCACATCTGACCACTTTTATGTTCATATTATCAATTCACCTGGTTTTGTGGAATCATGTATACAGGTCGTTCGATGCGACTGTTATTCAAAAGGGTTCAAGAGAATACTATCCCATATTCTCTGCATCGCCGAAGCTCTTGACACCTAAATAAAGAAACCTGAACTGTGTTATACAAAAGAAAACTGCTCAACTCTTTTTCCTTTCATGATCATAGTTTTCAGTCTTTGAAATCTCTTTCACACACTTTCCATTTCCTTTCTGTTTTGATACGATTCACTTCTAAAGTAATTTACCACTCATTCTTGTTGCTATGCTCTGGCCTGATCACAATTCAGTTATCAGTTATATCATCATTATTATTACAAAACTTTTTATCTTAACCTATTATTGATTAATATTCTCTATTCATCAGTTTTTGGTTTTTTTGTGATTTTAATGACGTATCATTTATTGATACTATTTGTGTTGCTTGACATGCCTTGACAAATCGTTTTCAACTATCAAATTTTTACAGTAGAAAAATGTATAAATTAACGATTATGTACAGCTTTGAAAATGGAATCGGTGCAAAAGAGATTCATCGCTGAAATATTACTTGTTCTTCTATCATATCTTGATGAGTATACATCAGACTTTGTTGATTTACCTACTTTGTCCTTCAGTGTTACGTAACTTATATTTTTCCACGCGAGCTTCTGACCCATTTTGATTATCGAAGTGTCTATATTTTCACGCTGCTTTCTCGCTCCATCATCATCATCAATCATTATTATTATCACGTATATAGCTGGTCTAATTTTTATACATATTAGGCTATTTGCATTCAAGTAAAGTCTTAGGAGGATCTCATTGAAAAGAATATTGTCCGCTCATATATTCCCTGTTCTGATTTACATGATGGGAGTCTGTGAAACTCATAATAATAATAATAATAATAATTTTGACTGTCTGAGATAGCTATGGGTTGGTAGACCTGTCTTGATGCTGGGTGATGCTGATTGAAGATGAAATGAAGGTGATATTTCAACAAATTTACTTCTTGTACGTTATTTTCACATGGGACTTAATTACTATTATATTTCCCTTGGGTTACCGTGGAACATAGGGATTCAGTAGCACGTCTCCAGTACACTCTCTTCTCTGAAGTCTTCTTAAGCTGGCTCTACGACTGGCCACAATGTTTCATTTCTTCCTCACATGATCTCCTCCATGTCACCCTCAGCTAGGATGTCCAACTCGTCGTTTCCCCTTTGGATTCCACTCGAGGGCCTGGTGCTAATGCCCACAATCAGCCTTCTCAATGTATGCCCAATCCATCTCCACTTTCTTCTTCTGCATATCTGTTAAGGGATAGGTTCTTGGTTAGTTGAAGAATGTCTGCAAGTTGTTAGAAATGCTTTTCGTGACGCGAGAAGTTTCTCAACCATATAGCAGCACTGACTTGACATTGGTGTTAAAAAGCCGGATATTGTTCACGCTTTAAACTGAGTGCAGTGCAGTAGATATCCACACTGGTTTCAGATTGATGGAAGCCTGTCTTGCTGCTTTTCCGATCCTGGCTGTCTTGACATCCTGGTCTGTGCCTGTGCCGCCTGTAGTTGAAACGATGCTGCTTAGGTAGGTGGAAGAAACAACTTCCCTCAGGTTTCTCCCGTTCATGGTAATTGGTGTTTGTTGTTGTTGTTGTTGGTCGGGTATCTTCACCCCCTCCGTCTTCTCTACATTCACTTGAAGTCCCGTCTTCCTTCACTGCCCTGCCTCTTCTATCAACCTGTTAGTTTTCACGTGTAGATCGTCGAGTTTGTGCGAAAGAACATTAGACATAAATCATCATTGGCGAAGTCCAAATCTTCTCCTGGGGTCTTTTCATCTGTCCAGCCAGCGGATACCCATCTACTCGCTCCTCACAGTTTGCTGCATGATCCAGTCCAGTCCAGTCGGCCACAATCAGGAAGATCATCGGTGATAGTAGACAGTCTTGTCTTACTCCTGTCCCCTATCTTCACTTCAAACGCATCACTGAGCTTCCCATCGTGAATCACTTGGCATGTGGCGTCTTCATATAGCTGTTGAATGAGGTTGATAAAGGTTAGTGGTACTGCATAATGTGTGTTGAAGTAGTTCCCCAATTATTGCTCAGTCGACGCTGTCGAAGGCCTTTTCAAAGTCGATAAAGTTGAGGTAGAGAGTTGAATGTCATTCAATACTCTGTTCTATAATGATGCATAGCGTAGCGTTGGAATTTGATGTGGACATGTTTTGTTTTTCGTGAAGCCAGTCAGACTGTTTTTGTGGTAATTTTGAATGTAGAGCAGCTTTTGATCTGTTCAGGATGATGTGGCATAATATTTTGCTTGCTTGGGGTGGACAGGAGCATGATTTCACGGTAATTCATGTAAAGGCTTAGGTCTTCCTTCTTTGGGAGTTTGACGAGGTAGCCATTTCTTTCAATCAACTGGTAGGTACCTTTCCTTCCATTCAAACCTTCTGCAGTTAAATACTCTTAATAATAGCAGTATGATAGACAGGAAGGTACAATAGCAAGTAGTAGTTTTTAAATCGTCATCTAGTTTGTATACTATTGCACTTGAGTTGGATAGAAAAACACATATAAGTTTGCTGGTGAAGGTTCATTCTTCCCAGTGTTAAAATTTCCTATTCTACCTACCTGTTCCTATAAGTGTAACATTTTTACTTGTAGTCTTGTTATTAACCCGTCTTACAATAGATTGAAAACATTTCTAAAGTATCCTAGAGTATTTTGTTTTACAGTATATTGACATTTGAATGATTAAAACAAGTAATAAATGAAAAAAAAGAGCAATTCGATAAAATATTTTTAGCAGCCAAAAATGTAAGCCAGTCCAGGTCACCAATAATGACAGATAAGTATCTAATTTCAGAAAAAGAAAGGAGTATTTCACTTCAAAGTGAAAATAATTTCTACTAGAAATGATTAAACAGCTCTATATGGAGATCTACTACACACTCAGTAGAAAGCGTGAACAACATGCATATTTTTCAACAGGAATTCAGTCAAGTCAATGCTTCTATATGACGGTTCATACATAGACTTAGTGCGTTACAAAAAGGATTTTTCCAACAAACTACAAACATACATGAACAATTGTCGCATACGCTCACTTGATACTGAAGATGCGGATCAGATGGTCAGAAAGAATAAGCAACAAGGAACTCTGGCTAACTGGCTGGCAATGAACCAACTAACACTGAGAAAACCATTTGAGGACATCACGCGCCGGGCCCTCGAGTGTGACCCAAATGGGAAACAACGAGTTGAGCGTCCAAGGATGATAACATAGAGGAGATTGTGTGACGAAGAAATGAAGGCTTCTGGGTAGTCATGGAACCAGGTTGAAAAGACTGCAGAGAAGAGAGTGAGATAGCGACGTACTGTTCCACTAGGAACCCAAAGAACAAATGATAATAGTAATAAATGCTACACATACTTCTAAAATATGATCAGGTTAACAAGAGTACACACTAAAGGGTTAAGTTGTAGCTCATTAGTTTACGTAGTGTAGTTGCATTTTACATGAGTGGGTAACAGGTTCGTGTCGAGCTCCACTTATCAAAGTTTCATTAGCCTGTCACATTATAGATGTCACTGTTTCACCTACTACTAAAAATATGCACACAGATTGTTAAGTCCATTTAGAGTAGACAAAGGAAGATTGAAACGAAACAGTCAATCGATTTGATTTTAAACAAAACATAAGTAATGATGGTAGTGGTTAGTAGTGGAGTCCAGGGTGCGCATTTCATCCTGTATGGGACTCGTCAGCTAGATATATCTGCTTTCCAGTGAATGATGTTGTTCCAACCAGGATTTAGACTTGGGACCGATCGCTTCAAACGCTAGAACACTATCCACTACACCACCGAGTCACTTCTTATACGACGGGTATAGTATTAGTATTATTGCTTGTATTATACCATCGGAAGCAGGTACATCCAGCTGATGAATCCCAGATAGGATGAAATGCGCATCTTGGATTCCACTGCTAACCACTATCCATCATTATTATAATTAGAACACAGGTAATATCGAAGCATTCGTACAGGAGTCCGCATGCCAATAGAGACTGATCAATTCGGTTCAATCAACGACGTTATAATACAAGCAGTTGATCACATCGAAGATATACAGTAGTCATACAACTTACAGTTAGAGGATGAAGCATATAAAGATTTTGTTCAGAGAATTGTTTTACTGGTCTATTGTTCAACTGTTGACTATGATTACTGTCCGTGATAATTGTTGTAACATGATTGGATAGGTTGAATGTAGTAGGATGATTCTTTCCAGCAATGTTATTCGCTGATATCACTGTTGAATTATCTTCAAATTGAATCAATGATAGATTAGACGATGGGGAATTCATATTTACTAATTTATTATTTATACTTTTATTGGTAATATCATGTGTATCAACAATTCTACTAGGCATATGATGATTACTATTATCTTGTAATAAATAAGACTCTGAATTCTTATCATCTGATGATTTAATTCGTCCACGCATTGAATGTCGAAGAAAAGTTTTACTTAGCCTATTCATCATTGTAGTAGCAGTAGTAGAAGTAGGTATAGCTTCACTTTTCAATGATATAGAATCCCATGATGATGTATACAGAGAATGATGATGATGATGATGAATTGATGACGTTCTATGGTGATACGAAGTTTTCAATGATGATGTTGATGATGATGGTGATAATGATACACCTGGAAAAAATTTACTACTTGAAGAAAATATATTCGATGGAGTATTTGATAAACTATCATTACCAGAACAAACAATATCCTTTTCTAATTTACTTTTATCATCATTTTCTTCATTATTATTATTATTATTATTATTATTATTATTATTATTATTATTATTATTATTATCATTATTATTATTACAGTGAATGTTTAGACTCAACTGGATTGATCGTTTAGTAGAAAAGGCAATAGTATATAACAATTGATCATGATGAATGTTATTTTGTTGGCTTATAGAAGTTCTATCATCTAGCATTTGTGTAAACTCTTGATAATCTAAGCATAGATGAGCACGTAAATATGCAATTTGATTATATATATAAAATAAAAATATACCATGATCTAAGGCATCAGGAAGTTTAATTAATTTATCATAAGAAGATGATTCAATAAGCCAAGATAATAGATTACGATTTATAGACAATTGATCCATTGAACCTAATGAACATTTGATTGGACATTGATCAATAGATTCATTTACATTCTTATTTATAGCATTATATGATAATGATGATGTTGGCAGTTGTGAATCCATAGGAATTAATTTATTATCAATATCAATTAATAAAGATATAGGAGAATATGATGTTAACTGTTGATCATTGAATACTGTTGAAGGTATAGACAATCTAATTGGTATTAATGACCATACAGTTAAAGGGAACGATTCAATTAATGATTGACGATAGACTGTACATTTATTCATTCGACTATTATGTTTATTATTCTCAGTATTGACATTTGTACTGATAATATCAGGAGATAATTGTGTTGTCATCTCGATTACAGTAAGAAATTCAATCCATACATTTGGACAATGAAGACACCAAAATTGTTCTTCAAAATTCTATAAAAAAGTAAAACAAATATTATTATTATTATTATTATTAGTCCCTTGGGTTCCTAGTGAAACATAGGGCTTCAGTAGCACGCCTCCAGTGACCTCTGTTCTCTGAGATCTTTTGAACCTGGTTCCACGACAGCCCAGAAGCTCTCATTTCCTCTCGCACGACCTCCTCCATGTCACCCTCGGACGTCCAACTCGTCGCTTCCCATGGGGATTCCACTCGAGGGCCTGACGCGTGATGTCCTCAGTCGCCTTCTCAGTGTATGCCCAATCCATCTCCACTTCTTCCTGCATATTTGTTGCGTGATAGGTTCTTGGTTGGTTCGTTCCCAGAGTTCCTTGTTGCTTATTTTTTCTGGCCATCTGATCTTCAGCAGCGAGCGTAAGCAGTTGTTGATGAATGTCTGTAGTTTATTGGAAATGCCTTTCGTGACGCGCCAAGTCTCTGAGCCATACAAGAGCACTGACTTGACGTTGGTGTTGAAAATCCGTATCTTGTTCCGCATGCTGAGTGCAGAAGATCTCCACACTGGTTTCAGGCTAATGAATGCCTGTCTTGCTTTTCCGATTCTGACTTTGACGTCCTCGTCCGTCCCGCCTGTAGTTGAAACAGTGCTTCCTAGATAAGTGAAGGAGGTACTTCCTTCAAGTTTCTCCCGTTGACGGTGATTGGAGTTTGTTGTTGTTGTTGATGGTGGTGTGCGGTATCTTCATCACTTCTGTCTTCTCTATATTCACCTGAAGTCCCGTCTTAGCTGCCTCCTCTGTCAACTTGTTAGTTTTTGCCTGCAGATCTTCAAGTTTATGTGACATTAGGCATAAGTCATCGGCGAAATCCAAGTCTTCTAGGTTCTTTTCCGTCGTCCAGTGTATCCCCCTCTTCTCGCTGCCTACTGTTTGCTGCATGATCCAGTCCACCACAATTAGGAATATCATGGGGATAGTAGGCAACCTTGTTTCACTCCTGTCTTCACTTCAAAGCATCACTGGCTTCCCATTGTGGATTACTTGGCATGTGGCATCTTCATATAGTTGTTGAATGAGGCGGATAAAGGTTTGCGGTACTCCGTAGTATTGAAGCAGTTTCCAAATTACTTCTCGGTCGACAAAACAAATATAGAATATGTATTTTAGAAAAATGGAAAGGAAGGGGGTGTGGTTCTTCAAAGACATTTTCTAGACGCCGGTCACATACGGGTTTTTCGATGACATTAAAAATTGGCTTGTACTATGGAAGGTGTAGTTGGACATACATCTTGTGGTTTTGAATCAACACTAACCACTGATGATTGATTTAAGTCATCATTTCACTGTTTAAGAACATGTTAAAGGTAACAGTACCTAGTTTTTGTCTAGTCACTATCCAACAAAACTTTCTAGCATGATAAGGACATCGAGGGAACAAGCATTCCACCAGAAAAGCTCGTTGGGTCAAACCCGACCACCACATCAAGTAAGCAACCATCAATCACGCTTCACATGTTTGACCATCGTTGCCTTCGTAGCATAAGCCGTGTTTCATGGTGTCACCATGTGACTAACCCAAAAGTCGAACGTACATTTCCAGTCAGGAGATGTAAGACAGTTGATACGCTTGTGATCCTTCATCGACTGAGATGGCTGACTGGGACATCTACTACGCATGCCTAACCACCGTCTACCTCGTCGAACAATCCTGGTAGAAGTAGGGTTGAGGTTGGAAAAAGGTTCTGGGCAACCAGACTAAAACATGGCATCAGTGAATGAAGTCCTTCACTATTGGTTTGAGCCATGTAGGAAGATGCAGACTACTAGCCGGTTGTGGTCCACAGGACAAGAGATTCTACGTGATGTCAGTGGCACACATGTCTACACATATTATCCTCATGTTAACTGTTATACTTAGTCTCATCATTTTCTCCTTGATCCTTTCTCTCTTTTACTACTTTCTACTTCCTTTCAACCATTTTCCCTTCATTTCATCTTCCATTTTATTGCCTTCCTACTTGGTGTGCTGATATGAAGTGTAGCAACTTGAACACCGTAATACCTAGTCCTATGTTGATTTTCAGGATAATCTCATTTTAGCATTTTGCTTAAAACAACTAATCAAGCTTCAATTTCCACTGTGGTTACTCATTTTCGAAGCATGCAGAACATTCAGATCATTGCATAGTACAACGTATTCTTGAAGAAACAGATAAAAATAGAAATATTTTAGCCATTTCCTACAAAAAACTCCACTCAAATTATTATATTATAAATATATTATTTGTCCCTTGGGTTCCTAGTGGAACCTACACTTTCACTAGCGCGTCTCCAGTACACTCTCTTCTCTAAAATCGTTTCAACCTCGCTCTACTACTGCTCACAAGCTCTCATTTCTTCCACACACCATCGCCTTCATGTCTCCCTCACCTGGGACGCCCAACTCGTCGTTTCCCATCTGGGTTCCATTCGACGGCCCGGCCTGGCGCTTGATGTCTCCGAATGGTCTTCTCAGTGCGTGTCCAATCCATCTCCATTTCCTTCTGCAAATCTGTTGGGCGATAGCTTCTCGGTTGGTTCGTTGACAGAGTTCCTTGTTGCTCATTCTTACTATTCTGACCATCTGACCTTCAGTATCGAGTCAGCGTAGGCAGTTGTTGCTGAATATCTGTAGTTTGTTGGAAGTGCCTTTCGTAACGCACCAAGTCTTTGGGCCATATAGAAGCACTGACTGACTTGATTGAATTAGTGTTGAAAATCCGGATGTTGTTGACGCTTTGTGGTGAGTGGAGTAGATCTCCCCACTGGTTTCAGGTTGATGAACGCCTGTCTTGCTGTCTTTCCGATCCTGGCTGGTTTTGGTGTTGTAATCTGTGCCTGTGCCACCTGTAGTTGAAATGATGCTGCCTAGATAGGTACTCCACTCAAAAATGAACAAAAATGGAGTAAGCGATTACAACTAATTAACTAAGCACACGTCAAGTAAATCTCTACTTTAAGGGTTTTTTGAGAAAGAATACTGAAAACAGAAGTTAAGAATGTAAAAGAATTGGATTAACATTATTATAACTCAGCGACGCCTTTGAAGTGAAGACAGGAGTAAGGAAAGGCTGTCTACTATCACCTATGATCTTCCTGATTGTGGTCGAGTGAATTGGACTAGATCATGCAGCAAACTGTGAGGAGCGAGGAGATGGGTATCCGCTGGCTGGACAGATGAAAAGACCCCAGGAGAGGATTTGGACTTCGCCAATGATGATTTATGTCTAATGTTCATTTCGCACAAACTCGAATGATCTACACGTGAAAAACTAAGCAAGTTGATAGAAGAGGCAGGGCAGTAAAGGAAGACGGGACTTCAAGTGAATGTAGAGAAGACAGAGGTGATGAAGGTATTCCAACCAACGCCATCATCAACAACAAGAAGCTCCAATTACCATGAACGGGAGAAACCTAAGGGAAGTTGTCTCTTCCACCTACCTAGGCAGCATCAGTTTCAACTACACGGCGGCACAGGCACAGATTACAACACCAAAACCAGCCAGGATCGGAATGACAGCAAGACAGGCGTTCATCAACCTGAAACCAGTGGGGAGATCTACTCCACTCAGCACAAAGCGTCAACAACATCCGGATTTTCAACACTAATTCAATCAAGTCAGTCAGTGCTTCTATATGGCTCAAAGACTTGGTGCGTTACGAAAGGCACTTCCAACAAACTACAGATATTCAGCAACAACTGCCTACGCTGACTCGATACTGAAGGTCAGATGGCCAGAATAGTAAGAATAAGCAACAAGGAACTCTGGCAATGAACCAACGAGTTGGGAGTCGCAGGTGAGGATGACATAGGAGGAGATGGTGTGTGGAAGAAATGACAGCTTGTGAACAATCGTGGAGCCTAATTTCAAAAGATTGAAGAAAAGAGAGTGGAATGGAGGCGTGCTATAAAGCCCTATGTTCCACTAGGAACCTAAAGGACAAATAATATAATATAAATAATATCGTAAGAAGATTGTAGAAGAAGTAAGAATTTCAGTTTGATATTCGCCATGGACTGATATAGTTGGAGAAATATTGGAAGCCTCGAGCACCGGACAGTTGTTTTGTCTTAGGATGGGACGCTCCTTAGCAGTGCGCACCAGCGAACCTGTCAAAGATCGAACCCAGCATCTTCAGGTTCCACTGCTAGCCCGTTACCCCGTTAAGCCAGTCACTGGATTACAATCCAATGCTTCATACTTCCTACTTCTATCAGTTAGTTCAAGATATGGCGTGACCTCCATCCAATGTCGTCGGGAATCACCTCTCGAAGCTAGTCATCAATGATTACTGGATTAAGTCAATTTTTAGGTTTGTGGTG